AACAATGTGGGTTGCCATCACGGCTATGGTATTGACGTACTTGTTTTCCATAATTGCCTTGACACCAACTGGTAAACATGACCTGGATCGTCAACTGAAAGTAGCAGTTATCACTTGGTTGACCCTGATGACCTTGCTTATCCTCAGTCACGGCATTCAATTGATATTTACATGGATGAAAAGTTGGGGAATGTGGAGGTCCCGCAGAGGTGGAAACCATGGCAACAGAGTCTGATGCTTCGTCCGGGAAAGGAGTAGTTCTGAAACTTGAGCTTGTCTGCTATGTATCTTAGTTATTTGATTGCTTGTTGAATGAAACTAGCTAATTGTATCAACAGCCAACACTCTCTTTTTACAAAAATTATTTCTTAATCTCTTCAAATGTTCAGTAAGAAAAAAAGGGAAAATTACAGATTATTAGTACCCTGTAATTTGGGTCTAGTCTCAAATTCGTCCCCCAATTTTAAAATGTGCCAATCCAATATCAAATTTTCAAAACGTGCTAATATAATACATACGTTAAACATGTGAAAGGACACAAATGCCCTCCGGGTGTCATCTAATTTTTTTTGTTAACCAATGCTTCTCCTGTACAGGCAGAAGCAATTGCAATCAAGAAAGATTTGTGGCTTCACGAGGGTGTTGGATGAATCGGATTGCCAAAGCCTGGTTGCTGGTTTGAAAGATTATAAGTTGGGCATGACTTCTTCTTAACCAAACAACACACACATCATATAGCCAAGGCATTGACTTTAAAGGGACTTCTATTTAGCACCACAGTTTGAGGGTTCTGATTGCAATACATTTGGCTTCTTTTACCTCTCCATTTGCCATCCTATCAACAATATTGTTTAACTGATCTTGGAGTCTATATGTATATTTTCCTTTTCCCCATTGCTACCGTTGTGATTTCGCTTAATATGTGTCTATGCGGATTCTGCTTACTTAGCCATCCTAAGAGTTCCTTTCTTTGTAGTGCATTCATTTTCCAACTACAGTCCATGTACAACAGCCTATATTTTAGCCTCGGGAGATTCTCCATAACCAACCGGCCCTCAGTGTGGGGCCAGTAAAATGGTGCCAGTGTGATCTCTGAGCACTCCTTCCACCCGAAGACTTAGGGTTACCTAGAAAACTACTTTTGAAGTTAAGCTTGATCATCCCAGTTTCTGGTGCAGTATGCTCTTGAATCGTTGCTGTTCACTGATTAGCTAAACCAGCCACTTCTTCCAAGTATCTACAATAGTCTCTATAGAGACACCTATGAATCTTTACCCAGGCTTATAACGAGCTACTTTGATTGTAATTAGAACAATTGTATTTCTGATACATGCTTCATATGTTTCATGAACACAGATTGGGAATCAGGATCTGATGTGTGTCTAGAAGTCCAGTTCTGAAAAAGGACTGATAGACTATATCCCTGAAAATTGTATAAAAGTTAAGCTTTGTAACAAGGAGATTCCTCAAGAATCCATGGGGTGTCAGAATCTGAGATGCACCCTAGCATGGACACTTGCATTCATTCGGGACAATCCATTCTGGGTTACTTGAACTTTTGGCTGAAATTTGGATTGCTTCCATATTTGTGGATGAAATTTTACTTCGATTTTCTATTGGGAAATTTTAGATTTTGAAGTTTGAATAATAGTTATCCAACACACTTGAACACTAAGATGGTATTCTATGTATAGAATTGTTAAATGGTGCTTGCTTAAAGTTGATCAACTGTTCTCACACTCCTTTTTTCAAATGGTATATGAATCACTTTCACTGAATGGTCCATCAGCAGCAGCCCCTTGTGAATTTTCATATCATCCTTAACTTTGTGGTGGTTATTTAGTCATGTTCTTTTCATTTTTAGGTCAATGTTCAAGTTCCTTAGTCTTGTATACCGATTCATGTGTGGAAGGATAAGTTTATCCTTAGTCTTGATCAATGCTCAATGTTCTCATTTCATGTGCACTATCATACATCTGCACCAATGAAAATGGATTTGCACTGCAAAGAAACCATGCTTTAACATTTAAATATGCTAATACCTAAATATTTTGGTTTACCAATTTGACTAGTTGACAACAGGGAATTTGTGAGACCTTCCCTTCAGCAACACCAGTCTTGTATAAATAGTGACAATATAGGATTGGGTTTGTAATGCAGGTGTGCAAGGAACGAGGGATCAAATTATCTGGAGCCTTAGCCGCTGCTGGATTGATTGCCGCACATTCATCTAAAGACCTCCTCAATCACCACCCGGAGAAGTACGCTGTTGTTACTCTTATTGACTGCCGAAGCCTTTTGGACCCAGTTCTCCATAGCTGTCATCTTGGTAAGCTCTTCTGACTTCAAATACATAGTACAGGAAATGATCATGGATTGTTTAATACGAAGAATAAAAGAAAGCTGTTTGAAATGTCTCTAACAATTAATACAGACAGCATCGATCTGGAAAAAATTAGGATAAATATACCCAAGAATAGAGATTGGCAACAACAAATTATGGTTAAATTAAGGTTGTGGCTGTTTGGGGATTTAATTAGAAAAATAAATGATAGAAAATTTATGAACAAATAAATATTC